TTTGACTTCACAATTGAAGTAAGCTGCGAGCAGACACTGCAAATTGGTTTGATGAACAACAGAAAATGCTTTTAGTGCATGGCGGGCTCCAGTAAACAAGGCACTTTTAGAAAATGCAGTTATCTGACGCTAACAGTGTCTTTTCAATACTTAATTCTGCCTCTCTCTATCTCGATATTGCTAAAGCTAAAGATAATGTGCCACGGCCAGTACTGCTGCAAAGAAGATGGTTTTCCTCAGATATTTGTTTGCGCGGTTGCTCTTGTTTTGATAGATGTATGATGATTGTAAGATTGTATATTTTCAGAGGTCTTTCATCTTCAAGGCCAAACCAACACGTTTTGAGCAGGGAACTAAAAAAGAAAAGATTTATTAAACTGTTTCTCTCTCTCTCTCTCCTTCTAAAGGTCAGTATTACCATTCTATTGAGTTAAAAAGAGTATATTATGATACTGCTGTTACTAGCCAACAGCGAGCTAATAGTACGCAACCCAAAATGTTATATAGTTGTTAAATGCATGTTTCTTCAATTCAGAGTCAACACAGTTAAGTGCTGCTTTGCATGATGCAGAATGGCATGTTTTGAATCTAAAGAATCAATACGATTGAGATATGGCCGTAATCACCGTATCCGTGGCTGGACACGGGGATTGCCAGGGGATACCATGGATGCCGTCTTTGTCTCATGCTAACTGACATAAGTCGGAGATGCTCCCTGCACGCCTACGCACACTCACTTAGTCACACAGATGCATCACAACTGTTCGCTGAAAATCAATACCTTAAAAACACACCGACAACAGGACTCATTCCATTCCAGGAAGGCATTCCATTTACACGCCTATCAGCACGAAGAGATGACATGCACGTACACTCATATGCAGTTCCACAGACCACTTAAATGCCGAGCTGCACAGCTCTGAACAAAAAAAGAACCCGTGTCTCTTTACGGTTGCCATGGCAGTCATTTGCACTCCAAACAGTAGAGCTGAACTGAGAGAGACTTTAGTCATCTCACTCCTCCTCCCTTCCTGCGCCTGTCTTTCTCTCTGTAAGACCAACCCCATAGTTGGATAGAATCGCTCTGGTAGAGAGGAAGCTGCTGCTGCAGCACCTCGCAGTAGCAAACAGAGCTGACGGATGAGCCTCTGAGCATCACACAACACATCTTTCCAGACCAACTAGTGGTGCTGTTTACCTTGGAGCAGGTCGATTTCCCATGTGGCCTCAGCCCTGGTGTGTAATTCACGGGCGCATGGAAGACGTGGATGCACGGACTCGGCTCGTTTACAGCAAAAAAAACTCTCTGTGGCTGGGATCATACGTGTGCCTCTGCGTGACCGGGGCCTTTCAAATGCAGATTTTTGAGTGTTGACTCCAGAGGGCACGCTGGTGTCTTTGTTTGAGTGTGATACCCCAGTGAAATCCTCTGGGGTTCTACGTCTGTGTGTGTGTGTATCTCACTAGGTTCTTCTGGCGAGCGCTTATGCATGTATGATCAAAAGTTGCCTTCATACAAGCTCCCGATAAATAAAACATATGGGACACTGTGAGCTAAACTGAACCGTCTCCTTATGAATAAATCAGCGCCTCCTATCAAGTGTTCCCCAACTGCTTTGACAGCAACTCACTAACATAATTATGTAACTCCCTGGCTTGTAACACGGTGCAATAATAACAATAACGCAAACGGATTATACAACAAAATCAATATCATTCCTGATCACAAGTTTCTTGGCGCCTTCTAATGGGTTTGATAAGAAAATGAACGGCAAGTTGCATTTGATTATACAACGTACAAGACATAACAATGTTTATGACATTAAAATCATTTTTGTCATGCAGGATTTGGCTGCAACACACAGATGCATGGATTGCGGCATTTTTCAGAGGTATGTAAAGTGCACTGTGCTGGCAAAAGGGTAATATGGGTAAAAGGAAGAGAAAAAATATCCAGTGAAACAAAATGGGCATCCCAATATAAACAAAAAAATGGATGTAAATTGTGGTACTAATACTAAATGAATTTAATTAGTCTAGTGATGGTACTATTTAACATGGCTTAAATGATTTAAAACTAAAAAACTAAATCCACCATTGACAGGGCCAATTTAAGGCTTAAACGTCAATTTTTATCTTGACACTGTTCAGCTACAAGTTTGTTTTCGCTTTGAGTGGATGAAAAATAACATGTTGAAGAGAATTGGAAAATTGTTTGCGATTTGAGCTTTGAGGGACCGCTGAGAACGCTCCCCACGGGTCCATGGGTTCAGAGACACCGTGATGTATTAAATTCTGCAAACATCTTATAAAGCAGCATATGTTGGGAACAGAATTGCTACGAGCCCATGTTGAAAACAAGCATCACCGTGTGATGAAAAAAAAACTCCCGGGTTACAACGACTGACATTACTCGATCCATTATTGAATGATTCTGACGGCCCCGGCGGAGAAATAGCTGTTGTGGCAGGTGGGGGGTGTGAGTGACAGAGCCCATTTATTACAGCGTACAATCATGTAACGAGAGCAACGCGGGCGCTGAGGAGAGGAGGCTGGTGCACGAGGCCACCGGCCACACAAAGACACACTCGTACGAGTGGGGGGGGGGTCGCCCCACAATCAGAGGACCGGCGGTTCGATCCCGGGCCTTGCTAACACGCACCCGTAGGTGTGACTCAGAATGGTGTGAATGCCAGTCACCGATGGGAAGGTGGCTCTATGTATGGTAGCTCCTGTCATCAGTGTGTGAACGGGTGTGAAAGGGCGAATGATGACATGAAGTGTTAAAGCGCTTTGGGTGGTCGGAAGACTAGAAAAGCGCCGTACAAGTGCACACAGCTAGGCACACATAAACATGACCCCGGCGCCCTGTTGGTCAAGTTCTCCCACCGGCCTCAGCCCTGACCAAGCGAGCTTCATACGTGAACCAGCGAATTAAGAGAATGACGTTTAAAGTACGATACGGGTTCTGCCAAATCTGTAGGCTGTTGCCCCCCATTGCATTGATATTTGGTTCACTTGCAATGTTTAACACATCTGGATTTACACCATTGCTCCTGGAAGAGCTTCACGTTGAACAGCTTCACGTTGAAAGCATTCCCCAGGAACTTTTCAAAGAAAAAGGAAGGAAGTCGCATGAAAACTTTGCTGCCTACAGCCAAACAAAATCACATGCCACTATTATTCATAAAAAAAAAAAAGATAAAATAAATTCTCTCAAAGCTCCCGATGGGTGAGCCGGCATGCCAAGTCAAACTTTCAGTCAAGCCACCCGTGAGAAACTTTTAACCACTGGAAAAGGCAAAGGGATCTGTGAAGGATGGAAAGCCGAGAGGAGAGAGGAAAGGACGACTGAATAGAGGTGATGGGCGGGGGGGTGGGGGTGGGGGGCGGTTCCTCTTAGAGTTATTTGTTGGGAGAGATAAATAAAGGGAGGGCCCGACAGCACGGACCGGGGCTCATGGGAGAGGCCTGACTGACAGTGGTGACATTCAGAGAGAGCACAGTAAACAAGGTCTCACAGAGAATAAATAGCAAGGGGAGCGGGGGGGGGGGGGAAATTTCCCCCTACTTAAGTACTGTACATATAATGCCGTCTCATCAATGTGTAAATATATGCCCACAAGCACACACACACACACACACACACGGAGTGAGGACATAAACGTACACACACGAGGAGCTGCCATTGAACCTGGAGATGCCTTCAGAGCGGAGCGAAAAGATACCGTCAGGCAGCAGACAAAGGAAATGCAATGCGTGCTGGCTTTTAATAGAACCAGCGCACACACACACACACACACACACATTGATACGGCCAGGCAGGGAAATTAAACACGCCTACTGATTAATCCAGGACAGAAGAGGATTGTCAGTGTTGTTCCTTGGCCTTTCGTCTCTGATTAAATGGAGGAGCGTTTAGAGTGAGGCGCTTTGAGCAGCCTGCCTCCGGGCTGAAAGCACCTCTCATACATTCTGTTCTCACCTTATCACTGGAAATGGCTCAGTGACGAGGGGGGGGGGGGTTTACAAGCACCCGCTCAGAAATGTCAGCAACTACAGAGCAGACAGGATGTCTTTTTTCATGTTTTTTGTTCTTCAATATTTTGTAACAATGATATTTGATCAGTGGTTGAAGGTGTAATATACACTGGCCCCCCATCACGTGCCCCCCATCACGAGTGCTAACAAATGTAGCTGGCTACCTCGTATGAGCCGGAACAACAACAACCAGCTAACCAGCTGCTGCCGTTACACACACACGGACACACAAACTAACACCTGTTGATCAGCGTAAAAAAGATCACAGATGTTAGATATCCTCCAGGTCATCATTAATATTAATGAACAGATGAACCAGTTTCAGATGAGTTTATTCTACTACTTCAACCTCCATTTCAGAGGTAAGTACTCAATTACATAATTTTGAAAGCTGAAACTTTACCAAATACACATATAAAACATGTGATCCCTTATGTGACCAGCTACTGCTTTTTTTAATCAATTATAATTTTGGATGCAGGACTGAAACTTGTTTTTTTATTTATTGTGTGCCGTTACTTCTTCCACAACTGTTAAATGTGCTGTGCATTAGTAATTTTTCCTGAAATCTGTCACTGTGAAAATAAATAAAATAAAATGTTTGGCTGTTTCTTTCCACTCCACTAAATTGAAGACATTGACAAAATAAATGATCAACAAACAGCCTTTAACACACCTGATGGTACAGCTCATTATGGTACAGCTACTTATAGACTTCCAAATGTTTTACAGTGAAGGTGCATAAACGCAAGTGAAATCAGTGTATCACCCCCGAAATAAAAAAAATGAGCACACGCGCATAAAAAGAAAATATTCCCACAAAAAAAAAAAATTCAATGGCAAACCCCGACTGCAGAATAGGTGAGAGTAACAAGTACTATTGCTTTCATCTGACAAAACACACGCCACAGCATTACATGTCCTTTTAAGTCTAGCAGCAGCTCACAGCACTTCAGGAGATGCATCAGCATACACCTCCGCGTGTGCACACGGGCTGTTCTAACTGGAGCAACTAGGTCACCCAAATATTCCAAGGGAAGATGTTTCCTTCAGGGCAGCATTCAGCGGGGTGAAACATTCACTGTGTTGGTTTTCAAAACACCAGCCAGGCACCGTGGACCGCTGAACACGCTGAGGGGCTTGTGCCTTTTTCTCTTCTTCTTCTTCTGCTCCTAAATGGCTGCAACACAGACTCCCAAGGCACAGAGAAGGAACAGTAAGGGTCACCTTGGAAGGACACTGTAAGGAACGGAGGAGATTTGATTTGAGTCCTCGGAGGATAGGAGTCCTTAAAGCTGCCTCCCTCGCTGAAGACACAAAGGAAATCTTTTGTTCAACACGAAACCTATTTAAAAGGGAATTTTTTAAAAAGCAGGTTTGTGTGCATTTCTTCCTTTCTCTCTTCATCAGGGGGTAAATGATACAAACGGCCAACAGTAGTTTCAGTTTTTGAAGCTGGTGATGAAATACAACGCGTCTCACATCTGGTTAATTTGCCGTCCCAGGCCGAACGGCTGGTAAACTAAAGAAAAAATCTGTTTGTCTTCAGTGAAACGTCTTGCATCATCAGCACAGCTTGTTCCCCCCAGATAAATGAATGCAAATGCTGTGCAAATATGCGTGAACTCATGTCTGGTCAAGCACAAATACAAAGAGATGCACACAAATGCACACACACAAAAAAGAGCACAAAAAGAGGCCGTAGGGAACGGACAATATGAGGATGCATAGTCACATTTCCACTCGCTCTCTCTCTCTCTCTCTCTCTCTCTCTCTGTGAGGCTCACAAAGAAATCAATAGTTTTTGAAGATGCCTTTTCTGGCTATAAGAGACGGAAGCTCAGACAATGGGCTTCACGCTGCGCACATAGCCGGGTCTCCGGGCAGAAAATGGTAAATGTCAGGTGAGGGCCAGTGTCCGTAAGGATCCGGTACCTACATCATGTACAGCTGAGCACCTGCAGCTGGCAAAGGCCCGCTGCAGAGATTTCCTCCCTTTTGATATTTGCGGAAGGGAAGTGCAACAGGAAAAAACATCTCGTAAATGTCACAGGATGGAAGTCAAGATAGGAACGGACGGTTCCAAATTGCTGTAATTTCTTTAACCTTTAGCCGCTCAATCAGGGAGGTTGACTGAGCGATGTAGCTATTTCTCAGTAACGCCTCTTTTAGACATAATAAATCGCATTCACGGATCAGCTTGGAAGATGCAGAGAACAGGAAACCTACAATACAAAAACACCTACTTACTAACCTTCCTCTAATGGTATCTAATCATGCTCATCGTTTTGGTTTAATTTGCTCAAGCTTCCCTTCCTAGAATAAGAAAGAGGCCAACAATACATCACTTGTGGAAATTGCAGAATTTAAAAAAAAATGACACATAGAAGCGGTGACTATGAAGAGCTTTTACTGGAACTACATTTGAACTTTCTTCAGGAGGAGTATTTGTTCAGGCATCAGAATAGGTGTGAGCTTTTTGTGTGTTCCAATTATTCAGGGTAACTGCGCATTGTTTCTGGACACAGACGTGGCTGAATTACTCAAATGGATTTTCAATAGTCTGAGCAAAGCAAACCAAATTCCATTTATCTCCATTGCTTTTTTGTTACGGCAGAAATCCCCGAGATAGATATTTCAGAAGAGCAGATCATCCGAGCCCGCTTGCTTTTCATCCAACAGCATCAGCTTCTCGCCCCTCACACCTGTTTTATGTGTACGTGCACCACCACATTGCACATATACATAATGTATGTGGTTTAATTTTTAAAGAGACAATAGGCTCAGTGTCTATCCATGACCTGACCTCTCTCTGCTGGTTCAGAGCTAACAGTGATGATACTGACATTATCTCGTCTCCTCCTGCTGGTCCCCTTGGAAAGCTCAGAAAGTCGACCTCAGAGCCTCTAAATTCAGACATTTAATGAGATTTTTAATTGGTGACCTTCTGAGAACGGTTTCATACCATAGCTCATGAGAGCACTAGAGCGGAAGCCGACACATGCCACTCCATGCTCACACAAGGTGATCCGGGATTGGGAAAAAAACCTTCAAAGTGAGCTACCCACAAGTAAGTAACTTCGTGGCATGTTTACAGTACCACAGGAAGGAGAACTAAAACACAGCATGACCACATTGTAAACTTCCTCCGCTGCTCTCCATCATACCATTTCATCGCTCTGCCGTGTGACAAGTGACTGGCAAAGAACAATATCTCAATAAACGTAGCCCGAGTGAGCTGAACATTAAGCAACAGAGCGCGTACAAAGCGCTGGCGTGGCAGAAAGGGATATGCCGTACGTAGGTGGCGCCTTGCGTCTCTTTGTGCATCCACAAAACAAAGCTGGGACTTGAAGTGCCGATCGAAGCGGTGCGTCAACATTTGTGACTTTCCTACCGTGGTGAGATGTCGCAGCCCTGCTGCATGAAGGCCCCCAGGGAGAACCAAAGAGAGTTGAATATGCCAAACTCGTTGGTCTGCTCGGGACTCTGCTGGTTGGTGCTCTGCTGCGTCTGCGTCTGGCCCTGCATCCCGTTGGTGGCCGACGCCTGGGTGGGAGTCTGCGGCTCGCCCCCCTCCTCGTAGTCCTCAGCGTGCCACTCGTACGGGCTGAAGCGACTGACGAGGAAGAGGACAACGCTAACGCCAATGTAGGCGAACACGATGCACATCCAGATCTCGTAAGCCAGCGGATCCAGGAAGGAAAACACGCCGGGTTTGGATTTTGTGGGTTTCTTGATCATAATGGAGATGCCCAGGGACATGAAGGGCTTAGAGAAGTCGATCACCTCTTCACGAACTAGGGTGATGGTCAGAGGAGCCACAGCCACGTCTGCTTTCTGGAGGAGGGGAACAGAGGGGAGGGGGGGTCAGTGTGTGTGTGGGTGGGAGGGAGGGGGGGTAGTGGGGAACAGAGACAGACATTTTTTTTAAGTGTAATTAATCCTTTCGTGCAACTACTGCTTGTACTACTAGCCGCAGTTAGCAGCATTGCTGCTATGCTACATCAATTCAGTGGGCTTTAGCTATATTTTGTGTACTAGTTAGCAAACATGCTAATAGAGGTGTATGGAGACGTAATTATCTCTGACTGCTGAACCGACTAAATCTGTATCTTTATTTGGGTAGAAGACCACAAGTGGCCATGGTAACATTTAATTGATTATTAAGCAACGTTATATTCATCTGCAGCTTTATATTTGCGCCTTCATAGATAAATAAATTTCATATTAGCGATCCATTATCATTGAAATATATTTTCACATCCTACTTTTTATCTCCCTCTCTTTTATTTTAACCCTTTAATCAGAGACAATGAACAACCAGAACCTGAATCCTACATGACACCTTTGTTTGATACAGCATGTTGCATCGTAAATCAATATCGACTGAAATACAAGGTAAGGTAAGGTTTTTTGTGTTTCGACATTTTCATACTTGAGATAATGCAAAAAGATAAAAGCAGACTACTAATGTCACTAATATTCACATTTATTTATTGGATGTGGCATGTTAAGTTGGCATCTTTTATTGGTCTATGTCTATTTGTCGTGCTTTATATGGCAATTAATAGCTGCCTGCTGTAACTCAGGAGATAAGCTCTCCTCCAGTATGTTTTATTGTTCAAAAGACACTCAACCAAAACTGCTCAGTGTGTGTGAGATGGAGAGAAGACCATTAGTTTGGTTCCTAATGGGTAGGTAACATCTTGCAGAGCAGCCCCTGCGTGTAAATGTTGAGTGAACAGCTGAATGTTGAATTTAAGGCGACTCGAAAGAAGACTAGAATGAATACAAGTCCATTTACCATCCAACAATGCTAGAAAGTGCTTAGTTCGCTCACCCCATACACCAGTTCTCCCACCATGCCGTTCCACATCTTGGTTTCTGGATCTCTGGCTCCGTATTTGCCGTCTGAAACCACCTTCAGTTTGTACTGGTAGCCCACGTGTTTCGCTATCTCGGCAGCCAGCTCCACTATGTAGCCCTCGTACTTGTCATTTCCCGCAAGCTGCTCATGGTTTTTCTTCAGCATCACATATGGAGACTCCTGTTGGATGTAAAGGCAGGCGTACAATCACCAACTTGAATTCAATTGCACCAGGTGTCAAAAATAACACACGGGTAGTAACAGAATCGTCTCTGAAACATTTTGCTGACATGTGCACTGATGTGTGTCATTTCTTGACACAAGCTTTTGTTTACAGCTGGACACGTTTTTAAGCTGATCAGTATCACGGTTGTCCATTATGGTTGATAATAAAGCTTAAGCATTTAGTTTTCTATTACTTAAAAAAAAAGGAGAATCTTTCTTATGAATGCATTTTACGCTTCAGTGCAGCACTTATCTTTTAACCGCTTGCTCACTGCTGAGGCTTTAGGAAAAGAAAGCTCTCTGTGCAAGGATCGAAAGAACAGATAATCATATGAAAGTACCAGGTATTATTCAGGCTTTGTTACTTAAAAGTATGGTGTGTAATTCAACCATAAAAGGTGCCCAAGGATCATCATTAGGACAACATTGAAAGGTATTGTTTTTGGAAGACAGCGGATCTGAGAGGGAGAGGTATCTGTGTGTGTGTGTGGATGGTTGCAGCAGACATTGCTGACCTCTGCTCCAGGGCCAGTTCTGTTCTACTTGTTATATTTCTCCGACATGAGAACCTCTCAATCTGATTGGCTTCCCTGAGAAGTTACAGCAGACAACACACCTGGGGCCTTGCTTCACTCAGAAAAAGGCATTTCATATAGAATTCCAGTCATCTCCGTCAAAGCTGTGCAGCCAGCAGTCAGGCGGGCCTCAATTCCCTCAAGTTGTTACGCGTGCCTGCTTTTAGCTAAGGCTGTGCTGAGCGGAGCAAATCCCGCAGTCATATTTCATCAGGGTCTAGAGATGTGTGGCTCGGGTGCGGGTGGGAGGAAGGTCCTCTGCGTGTTACAGTTATCTGGGTTCCCCTGTTTTTAGGCTGGAGGTATTCATTGTCCACACATGGGAACCCCAGGCCCGCTGGAGGAGAAACGGCACCGCCAGGAGACAATGGCGAGTACGGTTTGGCGTGCAGCACTTTGACGGGGTATGCACTTGCACTTCACAGACATGGATGGTTATTCACACACGCAACGGCGCGCACACACATGCGCATTGACACGGAATGACACGGTGTACAGAAGGTCCTCCGGGACTTGGAGTAATTGACCTTGAACATCCAGTGGGATCAGCTGTCACTCATCCAGATATACAGCAGAATGTATTTCATACACACAGATGCGTTGAAATGAGAGCGCGCAGGGAAATGAAACATGTGTGGGTATATTTGGGTAGTAAAATAAAAGATAACTTATTTCATTCCTCTGAATCCAATTAAAAACAGACCTCAAGGGAATTTCCACCATTAAATTATTTGCTCCTTCACGATACCATTTCCAAACAACACCCTATTAAAATAACTGCATTTGTTCTCATGGCCGCACACAGAGTTCGCTGCTAACAACCAACAACTGGCAAAATTGTACAAAGCCAGACGGACTGAGACAACACCAATGTGCAGTCCTCCATTAAAAGAACTCTGTTTCCATCATGCAGATCTCCCGTTGACCCCGGCCTGCTCTGTGTTCACAAGCTGGGACAGTCGGGATGTGGGAAAGAACAAAGTGATACCTTCACATTGGCAAAAACAACACACTCCCTCAAGCAGCGAATCAGCGAGCACAAAAGATAAACGATGTAAAAGCTTGACTGCTGCCCAATAACTGTTCACACCTTATCTCTCCTCTCAGGTTCCAAGACAGAGGACCAATTTATCTTCCAAGAAAAGGGGACGCTGATAGAAGATTATGTCAGCAAGACTTATTCTAGGTCTGTCCTCTTGGGAGAATGCAACCTTCGGGTTTAAATGAGAAGGATTAAAGCTTTCTATCGGAGTTTTAAATTATTTGCCATTTACTACTTTTTGCTTATTTTTCAGACTATTAATGAATTATTCAAGTTATTATGTAAAAGAAGCCCAAATTGGTTTTATTTGCGTAACATGTTTCTTTTTCCCTTTTCTTGTTCAGTTAGATCAAGTAAAAACGATCAGCGTTAGCAATGTAGCTCCTGTGTTGCTAGCTGAATGGCTTGTAATAACGTTAATGCTGCACTATTAAAGCTCTTTTTGCATTCAAATGAACAATTCTTTACCCAACGTGGGAAATACAGTTTGCGTCAGAAACGACCCATTTCCTGAACATAAAGTGGAGGTGCTGGAATGTACAGTGCGTATGCTATGACATGAACAACAACGGGGTGAGATGGCTCATAGTGCCCAGTTCAGCTCTCGCAATGTCTCTGACTGAAAGTTTCCCTCGCTAGAAAGATTTCACAAGTTGGAGTGTTTCTTTTGCCCTTCTCTATTATCCTCAGCACGCAGTTGAAAGACATTTTAGTTCAGTGGTTCCGTTTTTCTGCCAGGGCCCCCTTTGAGGATTTAGAGACATTGTAAGGCCCCCACCGACCCCAAACAATAAAAAATATTATTAACTGAACGATAATATATAAAAAGTGTTTTTATTTATATAATAAGTGCATATTTTGTTAATATTAACAGTTACATTACATTTTGTAAGCAGTGCAAACACGTATATATTTCTACATTTAACAGGGAGGGTTTGGGTTAGAACCCATTTTTCCTGTGTCGCACTGTAAAAAAAACTTTTTTTGCTGTCTTCTTGATGCTGCTGTCGCTCTATCTCTATCGCTCTTTCTCTCTCTGCCTCTCTGCTGCGCTCTTCCACTTGTAACCTGAGCCGCTCTTGGGGGGGGGGCGTGGTTTGAAAACAATGTTGAGTCCTCATGTCGCTTTCGCTTTCGTTCATTTTTTTTTTTTGTATTTTTTTTTCCTACCGTGGTTGTGTGTTAGGGTTGGTGATGGAGCCGCGACCCCTATGTCGACCCACCCCAGTTTGGGAACCACTTCTTTACCCCATTAACCCTCAGCCATTTCACCTGCATGGCCCCTGCTGGACCTGAAGTCTTTCTTTTACACATCTCATCCATGGATGCAAGAGCTCTGCTTCAAGTCCAGCGAAATAACATTGTGGCAGTGATTCCCGAGCTAAAAGATATTTCTACAGAGAAAAATAAAGTACAAAAAAGAAGCAGATCTGGGCCCCTATCCCCACAGACATGGAGTATCCTCTGATATTACATTTCTAACATGACGCAGACCCTGAGAACATCCTGTACCTGGGAATAAATATTTATTCTCCTCTACTGTATTATGAGTGAGGAATGGCGCTTTCTTTCAATGACACGAGTGTGTCATGATAACCTGGCTGACATGAAACCTGGCCAGATTGAATCGCTGCGTCGCTGTTCTCCTATACATGTACAACCTCATTCACACGACTCGTATGGCAGGATGCTGACCAGGTCTAGTGGAATGAGTGGGAAACATGAAGACGTCTTCCTTGTCTATTGTACTCACCAAGATGGTGGTGACGATGTAAGTTCTGTTCTGCAGGCCGTACGTCTCGTTGCTGCCTCTCACGAAGCTGGCAGTGGTCACATACTTCTCATCTTCGTTCCAGTAGCCAACCTGAGACGAGGAGAATGTCACCGTGTTAAATATGCATGAGGTGACCTTTTTTGACCCAAGTGAACAAAAGTAGTTTATCTCACGTCATGGGAAACAGAGGTGAGCGCACGTCTTCTGAGAACCGTTTAGTCATTATGATTAACATGTAATATGTAGTGTTATTGTAATAATGGATGGATGGAGTACTTTGAGCTATTATATGCATTAGATTATAGTGTTGGTTAATAGCTTCTATTTTCTACTCAACGCATACATGGGATTAAAACTACCGTTTCATTACCTGATTAAAAAACAAACCCTGGGTTATTCCTCTGATAAGCTCGCAGGCTCCCGGCTTACCTTCTTTGGCCCAGAGGGGGCCAGTTCCATGACACTGACAGTGTAGTTGGTTCTGCGACCTTTTTCGTTGAACTGAATGTGACCGGTCAATCCATCAATGCGGACCTGTAATGGAGTCACAAACATCGAATAAGTCATTCTCAGGCTCGGCAGATGGGTGAATAATGGCAGCGGTGAAGCATGGTATTCAAGCGGTCTGTGTCTTGTCTGCGCTGGCTGCCGGCATTAGCGTGTTTCACTCCTGCGCGCGGCATGTGTGTTTCAACGTGGCCGGCATGCATTTAGTACAGCGTCCATTCGTGAATTTGTCCACAGTGCTCGCTCCCCGCGGAAGAGGATGACAGACGGTGTGTGCGTGTACGAGCACAGTGCAGCGTGTTTGTCTTGGCTGCGTGACGGAGTTAATTGAGCGAAAAGCGGCTTCAGTCTCCGGCCCGCGCGCGGGCAGATGGCTGGATTGACAGCGAGCAGGCCGATGCAAAGCCACTCTGCAGACGCAGCCTCGGGCTGGCTCCGCCCCCCACAAACTCAGAGGATGTGAGACACGTATTTCATGGTGCCTTTTTGAAAAAGTAATTTAAAATTACCGTTATAGAATATTGTCCGTTCCTCGTAATACATCCTGTCACATGGGCGAGTGTCTCCATGAGACGACGTGGAGTACCAAGGCCAGACCAAGTGCTATTTCTTTTGCCGAATAGGATATTTCTAAACTCAATTGCCACTGTCATATTCCATGATGAGTGTTATTGCCTGCAGGTTTTGTTTACCAGCCATGATGTCACATTTGATACTGCAGAGCTCTTCTACGCTTTAATGTGAACTTTACGCGACAGAATGAGACCTAATTTGTTCAGCCAGCATTGGCTCAGCAGCCGTTAGCCAATGTGCCACTCAAGAATTCAAACGCGCGAGTGTGTGTGTGTGTGTGAGGGTGTATGCGCGTGTGTGCATGTGAGGGTGTGTGCACGCATTAGCATGTCCACATGTGTGCAGACAGACCTGCTGCAGAGCTCTCTGGATGTCTATGCCCTGTCCCCAGGGAGCTGGTGGGTTGGCAAGACACTCTCCGGCGTTGCCCCTGCGAGAGATGTCTATCCTCTGCTTCCTTAAGTTCTGAAAGGCCGTGTACATGACTTTCACCCCGTCATATGTTAGAGCGCCAGTGTACTGTGAAGAGAGAGAGAGAGAAGGCCGTTCAAAGCGAGGCGACACGCCGATACAGACCATCTAGCGCAGCTTTGCATTCACACCTAAAGAAATCATTTGTATTGCTTTAGAAATTTAGAAAACATTTATTTCTTGTTTGGATGTGGCATCGATTAGCTTGTTTTAATGGTTTGAAAAGCATTAATCCTCTCAGAGCAGAAAGCCCAGCTAGGATCATGGATTATCTGTCAAGCTAATTTAATAGAAATCCTCACACAGTTTGTAGCAATGCGCTGCTGACAGTCGCTAAACAGACAGACTGACAGGGGAAATAACAACCTTGTCGGCCGTTACTTAAAACCTTACATGGTAACTACTTAACGTGCCTTTACGACCTCTCAAATTAATCTCGACAGATAATAGAAAAAAGTAACAGAGAGCAAAGCAGTACTTTGAGTCCACTTTTGGGCACTTTGGAGTCTTTGTTGTCAAACTCCATCCACTGATGGACCACGCGGCTGACCACGGGCTCCGAGCTGTTGACGAGCTGGAAGCCGGTGATGTTCGCCCCACCCTTCCTCAGGTCTGTCAAGTCAATGTCCAGGAAGCCCTGAGACAGGAAGTGGACGGGAAGAGAGATGCAACCATTATTGCCCTTTCAGAATTTCAGAACAAATACATAATTTGAATGTTTCATTTTTATTTCATTTGTCTATTTTTCAGTAAGGCCGAGATCCTCCTTGTGGCAGTGGCAAGTGGGTGGCATCAAACTTGAGAGCCCCACCCCCTACACGGAACCCGCCGGTCCAAACCTAAAATTAGCCTCTGTAATAAGAAGACGGGGGCTCACGTGTCTCAAATAAAATTAAATAAAATTAAATAAAATTAAATATTTACAGCAGCTGACCTGTCGTACAAAAAACAGTTGTTTCTGGGAAAAATTGGCTCCTCCCACCCAGCGTGCCGTCGTGACGCCGACTGATTTACTGGCGATTGCCGCTGCCTGTCACAAAGTTGCCACCCACTTGCCACTGCCACAAGGAGGATCTCGCTGTCACTCCTATTTTTTGCGCATTGTTTTGCCGACTAGCCGTGAGCGACACTTTGAACTTTTGCTAGATGCTGTGTCTCTATTTATTCCTGTCAGTAGCTTACAAAGCGTGGCAATCCTTCTTTTCTTCACTTGGAGAGGTTTCCCAATTGAGCGTACCTCATCCCCGGCCTTTCTGAAGGTCGACAGAAGTGAGATGGAAGCCCGAAAACCTCATTTCATGTCCGCGGTCAGTCCGGAGTTAATCTCTCAAGTCCTTGATGCAGTTTGATGGCAGGATCAAAAACCTCACACTGTAGGCCACTGGAGGAAAGGATTTACTATAATAATATCTCCTACATTTATTTTCTCCCTTGACTATTTTGTCAAGAGGCGGTTTTTCATCGCCGCAGAAAGGCACAGAGGCGGATTCGCCCTCTGAGCAGGAAGCCTGTCAGCGCGGGAAGATGAGGAGGCAGACGAGTGGGACCGGGTGGGAGGCGATTTAAGAGCAAAGTTTTGACTGATGAAAAGAAAAAGGTGCCTCTCTGGTGTGTCTCACCTGCTCGCCCAGTTACACGATACTTTCTATTCTGTCTCTTTTCTCCTCTGCACTGGTGTTGTTTCTTTCATGTCGCTTGATGCTTCGGGCTCTCTCTTGGCTAAATGTCTATCCAAAACTTTGCCTTGTTTTCTCTCTCTTCCCATCCATGCAGGGAAGACATTTTTTCGGGATGGTCGAGTGGGCGGCAGGTACAGAATGAAGGCAATCTCAAACTCCTCCTGCTTCATATTTCTCAGCTGAGAAGGCAGACAAGTGTCTTTTTTTCTGCTCCATGTGAGAGCTAACGCAGCGTAGTGAGCTGGAGAGATAACTAGAGAAAGCCTTTGCCAGCACAGGACATGACAAGACGTATTTTACAATTGAACCACTAAAACCACATTTATTTTCTCTATCACATCAAACTGTCGGTTTCAGGCGCACACAGACACACACACACGCGCGCGCACAGCTGCAGACGAGCAATACAAATACGTTAAATTCTAAAATCGTACAAGGACACAGGAACAGTAATTGTTCCCTAAACCTTTTAATGGGCCCATTATGAAAGACTGCGGCCACTTTGCGTATCAGCTGTTATTACCGTCTGAGCTTTATCATTCAAAATTAAATCTGGCAGACAAGAGAGATTGAGGCAATCTAAAACTGCAGTGATAAGAAATTGTGCAAGCCAGCAGCTGCATATTAATGCATTTTACCGTATTACAGCTGCGTTTGATGTCAATTTTCTCTTCATTTGGTTCAGTCTGGTGTCGGGTGAAGGGGTCTGCACACCGTTTGGCAGCAGACAAAGAAAGCCGGTGGATATAAGCTTGCATTCATTCGCCGCCTGACATTTTTCCGCCACCGGCTGTCATGACACGCTTGGGCTTTATTGTCTAGTCTACTTCTCTGCAGCTGTTATCTCTGCAGGTCTGACGATCCAGTGAAAGAAGGAATATATGAAGCAGCTAAAGTAGGAAATGGGATGGATTGCACAGGACACACATAAAACAGGCTGTTTTAGGCTGAATCATTTGGCCCACTAACGTCTATTGAAATGGCAATAAAGCAGCGAAAGCCTGGAATCCTGTCCAAAGCCACATTTAGCAGCAATGCAAATTAATTCATGGAGGCGTGAAAGTACGTCGGCGAGTATGTGGAAAAAATACACCCGAACCAAATACAGGATTATGTCGTGTGCTTACCAGGTTAGCCAGGATGTAGTGATAGCTCTTTGCATTCTTGCCTTGTTCAACAATCTGCAAGAGAAGATCACAGGAGATATGGAAAATGAAATGTCTGGGATACAAAGCCGGACGGTGAGAGAGGTTTAGACAGTCTCTCAGAAGCGTACCTGGCTGAGTGCACCTGACATTGTGGAGGACAGACAGCGAGTAGGTTCACAATACATCAAATAGACTAAACACTTAACATCAACTTTAATAAGAGATGAGTACCTTAACAAAGACCAGCTTTAATACGTCATTAGAACTCCAACTTACCAAAAGACTCCATGTTATAAAGCGTCAGCTGTCAGTTACAAAACAGAATAAAGAAATGCCACATTCCCGCCCTTTTGATTCCTCCTCTGCTCTTTTGATTTCAACATTTTGCCTTCGGCCGGACACCTGCTTTTGAAACATATTATGTATGACACAAAAACCCACCAGTGATACTATTCTTACCAAAACAAAAGCTGAATTAATTAAATCACTGATAATTATGATGTGTAACCACAAGAAAAAAAAAGCAAATCATACTCTGAAACAACCCGAGCTCACCACTTGAAAAACAAGGAAATATAGACCACTATACTATTACTATAGATTATAATTTTTTTAAATAATTAAATGAAAAGCGAAAGAGGTAGAAATTACATTAACAATTTTTAAATATAATTCTTCATACTGCACATCCTCCTCATCCTCATCTGTTTCCAATAGTTCTCTTATTTAATCTTTGATCTAATAATATTTAAATAGCTTCCTCGAACTCTAATAACGTTATCAAGCACTGAACTGCGCACGAGCTCCTTCTCCCACGCCTCCACATCTCTACTACATCCACCGCAGCAACTCTCTGACGGCGGGCGTCGAAGGTCAGCCGAGCACCGAGAGGTCGGAGCAGCGTGAACGTCGCGGGCGGAGGTGTGTACAGTAGCGCCAGATGCGATTTATTTATACAAGGAACCGGCAAACTGGACCCAAGCTGGACTGATGTTTGGAGACAGAGAAAGATGAATAAATAAATAATGTGTCGCTGCTGGTGGCACTCAAGGCGACGGCCTCAACAAATAATAAAAAGAGAGCCTGCTGTACTGTATAACAAATGTGTCACCACTACATACTTGGCCGCCACATAAAATAAGGCAGAGTGGGCAGCGCTTATTCAAAGCCGTGCACCGCCCAATGAGTAGCCTGAGGCCGGCGTGTAAGCGGCTCATTCCTCTGTCTCTGCTCAGGCACCACGCATGGCCTCACACAGTTCCCCCCCCCCCCCCTCGATAATACTTAGAGGAAGTGCACTCCTTTGTTTGTGTGTTATGTGTGTCTAATGATGCTGTAGGTCATGGCAGAAGGTGGCATTTGTTATTAATAGTAACCCCGGCGCAAGGCGGGCCCTGCGGCTGAGTCCCAGGCGAGGAAAAGCTGAAGGCAAGAGGAGAGCCACACACACACACACACACACACACACACACCAGCGCTGACACCAGTAGGCTCAACACAGGGGAAAAAACACACGCATTACTGCCACAGTTGACCGTCCAAAGGGAAAGTGTATTTAATTATACAGGAAGATTCGAAGAGTCGCTCACAGTTCAACCCCAAGTGAACGGGTCACATTTCCGTCTCTCTGAAACATTTTCCCAAAGGCCCCCTCTGTCACGATGCAAGTTCCCTAAGGAGAGCGCATCAGCATCCAGTTTATGGGAGAAGTCGCCCTGAGGAATCTGTCAGTGACATTATCGCAGGGGAATCTGTGTACGGCAAATGTGTTTTGAAGGACATAACAGGAGGAGTTGAATGAGGGCCTCGCCGCAAGGGGCGCTGCCGCAGATTCTGCCAAGCAGGGGTCTACTGGGGAGCCATTATTTCATCTATCGTTGTCTATTGGGTTGATACGTGCTACGCAGATTGAAAGTTGACTTCCTCTGTGCGTCCAGAGAAATGTTGGATATTATCTACCGGATTTGTCGTTATTATTGTTCTTTAGGGCTCTACAGATCTTATAGTGCCAAACGGTTATATTAATACTTTTGTATAACTAGTGGACAGTCAATTAGAGACCGCTTTTTGAATGCTCATTTAAATACCTGGTGAGTTTCTGGGTTGTATTAGTCCACTGTGAGCGAGCTACTCTCACTACTTGTTTGTTGGCACCTTTGGGTGTTGTAGCTATGAGGATATATGTTACAATTAAAGCTCGGCTTTCATTATGAATGGACTGTTGTTAACATTTACAATGCATTGTTTACCTTGCAGGAACACACACACATACAGGCAAGTGTTTATTGTATTAAAGTGCAGTAAATTGATCATCTAAGTCCTCATTATTACGTCTTGGGGGAAGAGAGGATGAGCAATGTGGAAGATGCACACTTTGCGATGGCCTGCCACTACTGAGCCTCGGCAACATTATGAGATGAACACAGGTGGGAGTTTAAAGGGTAAAATAGGCGTGAGTTGTGTGTGTGTTCGCCGTTGTTTGGCGGCGTAGAGGCAGGGAGCAGATGCGGGTGATTGATGGCGGCTGTCTGAATGGAGAACTTCTCAGGCTCGGCTCCTGTAAACTGGTGAGAACTGATGCAATAACGTTAACTGCAGACACCGGGCCATCAATAACAGTCACACCGAGCAGCCATAGACACATAGATGGGCACTGTGCGTGTGTGTGTGTGTGTGTGTGTGTGTGTGTGTGTGTGTGTGTGTGTGTGTGTGTGTTACGATCCTCATAAAAGTGCATGAGTGTGCAATGTTTTGTTTTGCTTCTAAACAACAATATACTGAAACAGAAGAAAAGCTATTGAAATCTGACTGGAAGTCATAAATCATACAAGGGACATCAACAAGCAAAACAATTTACATATGACAAATGTGTCACATGGTTGTGGGGATACAACTATCTGCATCTATTAACTGCTGCTGGCTATTGCAAATCACAATGCAGTTTGCGACACCTTTTTTCCTAGCAGACAATTTGACTTGAAAGCAGGAAAAGCTCACGTGAAACACATTTTGTTAACAATAAACCACAGCGAGGCAGCACGCACAATACAGGAGCCCTGGAACGAGATGACGCAAATGCATCCACTATTGATTACGCCGGTTATTTTTCTGCTATGACACAAGAGTCACAGTGGTAACGCTACATTTACTGCTCCTCATTTCTAGTAATTATATGAACACCGGCTTCTTGTTTTTGTGAAAAAGCAGTTTCTGTGTGACTTTAAAGTATCTAAACTGCACCACTGAAACAGGAAACCTAATTAGGGCCCTTTCTTTAAAGCTCTTTGTGGGTACATGTATTGTTTCTGTTTATTTGTCCTTACATAACCCTGTTTGGCTTCATAGCCCGCATACGGCTTGGTATTTTCAAATAGCATGTTCCAATTTAACAAGCTTAACAGAACCAGTCTCCAAACGGTGATAGAGCACAAGCTGGGCTTTTTCTTAAACATAATGTAACCTGTAGCCTCACAAACTCATAAAGTGAAAATACTTGGAGGTTATGCTTGTTCACTATTGTTGCCAGTAAGCTAGTTAGCCACGCATGCTAATGATCCATACATCACAACAAACAAACTAAAGGCCATTTTTAACAGTTTTGTTCTCATGTTTTTTGATTTTAGAAAGGATACAAAAAAGGATCCCACATGGGCTACAAACTGTTGAGTAAAACTCTTACTACAACGCCATGTAAACTCCTCTTGATCAGCTAAATCCAATGCTTGAAGGACCTGCCGTGCCATGTTTAAGTGGGATTCTGCGTTTTGGGGAGAAGTTTACTGGACAATCAATTGTGATGGCAAGACCCTTTTTTTCAACCATGCTGAGGTGAGTAAGTGACGATCCTATTGCAGAAGAACCGCGAATGTTGTGTTATTTATCCCTGCTGCCCTTGATAGTCCAGGATACTAAACACCAGGGCGATCCATCAACCAACCCGCTCTATAAATATCCCTCCTTGCTCTTCATTCCTTCGTCCCTCATCTCTCTCTCTCTACCTCTTTATGTATATATATATATATATGTTAAAAAGATACATTAAGTTGTTTTTAAGTCCTTCAAAACTGACTGATCATTAAGAGCATATCATACATTATGGTTTCACTTCATCATAAGGCCTTTCAGCTGAAATTGCATTATGCTATTGCCTCATAATAACATTATTGCCTCTTATTAAAAGCACTTTACCTTTTTGAGGATCCCAGTGAGTCTCTCCGTCTCACAATCAATGATAATTTGGCCCTCCTTCCTCTTGTCCAAGTCCTGGAACACTTTCAAGAAGGAGGCCTCCGTCATGGTCTCCACGTTGACCGAGGTCACCAGCCAGTTCCTCTCCGCCGCTGTGTCCAGAACCTTCTGCAGCACTGACAGGCCTGGATAGAAGAGTGGAGAGTGAGTGTTTGGGCCTTTTTTAGGAAATGTTTTGCAAGTTAAATGAAGTGATTAATGGCCAGCCTACTGAGAGCAATCTATAAGTGTCTGGGATTTATTAGGCAACATAAATTACATGCTTAAGTTAATCTTATACAGTGTAAAGTAAAGTAAAAGTAAAGTAAGGTAACTGTTTTTCACATCCAGCATCTATGCAATCCCACCAAACAGCACACAAACCATTCCCACAGTGTGTGTTATGGGCGAAGAGATCAATTAAAAACAATTTGGGAAAGAAACAAAAGCCGTGCAGGAAGCCAAACTGCTCTTGATAAGCTTATCCATCAGCACCCCCCCTGTAGCTTCAGTGATAGAGGATAACGAGCGGGACAGCCCATTAAGTACTCTGACACACACAGGTGTGCTTTCCCAGTGCGTACAGCGCCGGGCTAAAAAATCGCCAGTTCCACGCCAACAAATAATCAGCCCGCGTATCATCACACACTCGCAGCCAGCTTTACGTCCTCGGAGCGCCGATTACAGGCGATGTTACTCAATTACACTGTCGCCACTGCGCACTCGCAGACGCTTGAGCGGCACCACGCAGGCAGAGGTAGAGCAGCCAAAGAGCTAAAGGCTCATGCTAAGACAGAATATAAAAGGCGATTAGAGAACACATTGATCTTGAGCTCAGATTTACAATCTGGCTCAGTGTTGTTCTCCTTTGCTGCTGGCGATAGACCAATCGGATTCCTCTCGAGCTGGCAGACACTTTTTCCACAGAGTAAATAAAGCAATTTCACCCGCAGCAGACTGGCAGACATTACTCAAATGAATTACAGCAATTACTACTTTTTGAAAATGTAAACTAATACTCAATGTGGCTGTATTTGTTATCCCTCCACTAAACTGGCAAACAGTGCTAGAGCCACCATGGGCTTATACGTGATGTGTTATCTGCCATGTGTGTTCGTTCATGTTCATACATGCATTTCATGCGTATTGAGCGTGCGTGGACACGGCTTATTCACAACAACAGCAGCAGCGCAGACCCCATGAAAAGAAGAATGAGAAAGGCATCGTCCCAGCCTCTGAAAGACGACGGCCTGGCCTTATTAAAATGCACGCCAGCTGCTCTCCAGGCCATTCCATACCGCCTATCTGACACCAGGTCATTAAGAAATGAAAGGATGAATGGCATTTCACCTCCACATATGACCACCATACGAGTACGGGAATATAAATTAGACACCCCCACGAAAAACGATGTGTAAACATGTACACGGTGACGTACAGCGCCTGTCTCAGTGTCTCCGTCCATTCACCGTGGCTCATGAATAATCAACGTCCTCGGTGCCGACGGAGTCAGTGGTTGCTGTGAAACTGACAACTAACAGCATGGCAACACAGTGGGGCGGTTAATCGTCTTAATCAAGGCCAGTGGGTCCTGGGGAGGCTAGTTCTGGTCTTTGAATAGTCAAGTCCTACTTTTAGCACCGAGGACATCATCAAGCAGCATAAGCTGACCCAGCAGTTTGTGAAGGACCCCGGTCCCACTAAAGCCGTTTGTTTGATCTTCTCATTTGCTTGTTAATCTGGTATTACATTATGTATATCAAGTTACTCAAGCTACACGAGGAAGAACAGGCATAGTCTTCATTTTGTCCCGTGTTCTGGATGTTAAATAGTACACAGCATGGCAGAGAAATCTGGAGTCAACCTTGATGTTATCAGTGTGGCCGCACAATTACATTGTGTTATCTCCTCTTATCTCCCATCTATTCTTCCTTTCTTCCCTGCTTTCTTTCCTTTTTAGTCTCACTGTGTTTACATTGAATATGGTCTCGCCTTTGTAAACGTAGCTATGTGGGTTATGCACCCCTATAAATCAGAGCCAGCCTGACAGGGAGGCGCGTGAGACTGAGGTAAAAAATGTTCCTCTAAAGGCATCCCGGAATAATATCATAATAGAATCTGGCTGCCATAAGCATCCTTCTGGCCACAGGCAATACACGGGGACCTGGGCACCAGAGAAAATAACAATTTGGAGAACCCATTTCCTGAATATTGTTTATGATAGGTTTAATGGGCTATCAAATTTGTTTTTCTGTTCTTGTGTTTTGAGACTAAAAATGAGAGGCACTTTTATGAGCAGATACTGCAGCAAGAATGATGTTAATAGAAAAAGAGTGGAGAGAATGGTTTAAAACACTAAAAGTGAGTCTGTGTTCTGACCTCTTCAGTCCTTTGGAAGTTTCGACAGAAACTCCCACACTGGTTTGAATGAATATTCAAGCTCAGCAGTACCCGACAAATGGTACATTTGTAGTATAAAGTAAAGTATAAATACATATTGTAGATAAAATGTATTACACGAGAGATCTTTTCTGGGAAATATTGCCAGTCATTATGAATACCTTTTTTAAAAAGCACACAGGCAATGCTTTTCTTAAAGCCTTAAAATAGCTGTAGAAAGGGTGACTGCAGCGTAGTATCCAGGCAACAGCGGACTACTGATATGGATTCCACCTGCTCTATCCCACCTCTCAATCACACAGGAGTGACACTGCACACACCCACACACACATATGATACCAGAGTTTGTGAGTTGGTAATGAAGGGATCACAGTGTAATAAAATAAGATAATAAAAATAAGATCCGTGGGACTTGTGTGGCGCCCCGGCCATCATGAATCAATGGGGCTCAGAGCACTGTGAAATCTCTCTTGTCAGTGTGTTCTGCAGAGGGATGTGATGGCATCCGTCTTTTAAAGCTGACTTAAGCCTGCTTATGTCTCACACACTAGCGTTGAGAAAAATTGCAATAATTTGCATGTGCAAAATGTGCACAGATACAAAACAGCTTGCATGCTTTTTGGTAAACTAAGACAAATATACACCCTTCACAGTCTCGCTCCAAAACCCACAACACCTGGGACAGATGGCACGGCATAATGGGAAGGCCATAGGTGATTGGCTCAAAGGGGGAAGGAGGAGGGGCCTGACAGGTGCGCTGCTATATTTCTGCAGGACTGCTTCTGGTGTTTAGATCGTATGTTACAGCGAAATTGCTTTTTTTTGTGGCATGCTTCTGACTGTTGCAACACAGGTAACTGCTGAGGAGCTTCACCTTTGGTTCCATTGTGTGATTTATCTACTAGTCAGTGGAAGTCAATGTTTTTTCTTTCATTGTTCTGTAGTTCTGAAAAAGACGTTTGGATTTTGGCTCGTTGCTACAAAATGGCGAGAACTGACCCCATCCCTGTCGCCATGGCAATATCAAGGCGACGCATGGTGGTTAGTTTCAATTACTGATTTTGCCTTTTTCCGTCTTCATTTGACTGTGCTTTTAAATGTTTAAATACATTTGTATTAAAAGATGAATGACAATGATATCCCATTGTTATTGATAACATTCTAAATATTGTAGCAAAGGATTTATATACTTAGCCACGTAAGTTGCATCTTAGCCAACTTTACAGTCACATCTCCTTATCGTGATGTAGCAACGCTGTGTGTGAATCAAACATAAAGGCGTCTGCTCAAAATGATTATGCCAAATATACTTGGCAAGAAGTGAAATGAAATAACTGAGTTGCAACAATCCAACCTGAGTCAGAGCTGTACATGTAGACAAACTTGGTCCATCCGTAGTGGTCGATCACTCCCACCAGAGCGTCCTGGAGCTCAGGCCTCAGCTGGATGACAAACTGGTTGGCCGTCTCGATGGGGAAGGACGGCGTGACGAAGCAGACATGCAGCGCCCCGCAGAAGGACATGAGCATGTTGACGGTCTTCCTGTCGTACAGGCCAATGATGGCGTACACGCCTTTGGAGAACTGGGAGCAAACTGGGAAAGGAAAAGAATAAAAGCAGGGAGAGGAGAAAGTTAGTCTGTGGAATAAAGGCCTGCCAGGTATAGTGAACCCAAATGAAAATGTTTCAAGAATTGAACGAGGAGAATTCATACTGCTTGACGAATACAATGTTCATCAGATGACACCTACATCCTATGGAGTTTTTCAATTATTGTACAGCACATTCAATCAGGTCCCATTGGCTTCCTCATATGAGGAAGACAAATACAGTGAATTACAGCTGGAAGGATTGCACAATTATTTAATTAGACGGTCGAGTCCAGCTTCTCCGACAAGAAAATTTGCACTGGATTGAACATTTTGGAGTTTTGCAAAAGCAGAAAAATCTATTGGAAGACATTATCTTGAAGTGTGGAAGATTATGATATTCAAGGTCTGTTTTTCCAATGCTTAATAGAATAAAACTATTATTGGATGAACCGATTTTAATCCAGCCCATCTAAATCAAACCATAGTTAGTTCCAAGTAATGTGGAGGTATGTGCGTTTATCTGTTTATGTTTTCACCTGAATGGCCCTAATAGCTTCATGCCTGTTTCAATTCAACTACCCTGTGACATCTTTATGCAGAACTGGCCCGTTGGTCCATCTGTGTGCCACGAGTCTGTGTTTTTCCTTTCGGAGAGAGGTACAGAGGCTGAAGGCAGATTAGGAGGAAAGAGGTTAATCAATGCATCCCCAGGGTTCCACTGACATTTTACTGGCTGCAGGAGGCCGTTTGCATCCCTCATTTGCTTCCCTCCCCGGCCCTCTCCATTTTTCTCCTCTTCCCATTGTCTGTTGGTCACCCTGACTTCCTTCGCACCCTCCAATATCTTAAAAACAGCCAATTTATGTTCCCAGTCTTCTCTCTGGAAGGTCTGTCCTAGCGTTCGCTTTTCAGCACTTTGCAGGTCTGACCCGGGGTATTTTCTGCCCCGGCGATGGGCGGGCCTTACTTATCTCAGTATTTACCAAACAGATTGAAGTCGCTGCCTGTCCCTGCGCGAGGGCCAGCTTGCTGCTAGGAGCTGAGGGCAAGACAGAGGGAGGATGGCCCGCACCCAAAACGCCTAACCCGTCACAGACCTGCACCCGCCGGGCAGGCACACGCGTGTGTGTGTGTGTGTGTGTGTGTGTGACGGAGATAGAAGAGAGGCATGAAATTCAGCAGTATCACATAAAAATGCATGAGCACACACACACACATGCAGTTTCTATTGATCCAAAAGCCTGGTGACTCACCCTACTTAAAGCGAGCCCTGAAATAGACATTTTGAGCCTCGCCACACTGACTCAGGAACAGAACTATCTTTTCTTCATGGTCCGCACACGCCGGAGCTATTAAATAGACACACTCTCAGCCATTGCTTTCCACCAGCACACATTATATTTCCCCTTTCAATTTTCTAGGACCAATTTCAGCGGTGGCCTCCATGTTCTGCCTGGATAAAAGGTAATGAGAGCTTGTTTGACTTCTTGTGCAGCGTCCCATTACTCTGCCCTACAGGAGGTGACCGCGTCTCACTGAATATGAGTCATCGCTCATACCTACAGTATGTGTGTGTCCGACAAAGCTCCCTCGCCGCAAACCTCCCCCCTCCCCCCCCCCCAACACAAAGCCATGTGGCACGGACCTCCTGCTCCGAGCTGGCAAGAGAAGCATCTGCTCGTGGAACTTGACAGGAGCACGACGCAGAACATTAGTGTAACTCAGTGGCCTCGGGTCTTGTTCTGATGGCCGCGAGCAGCGGAGGGGAGCGGCGTGTCCGAAGGTGATGCCGTGCGAGCTTCTTGTTAGCGCGGCGCCACATCTGTACATCGGAGGCAGGGCCGAGTGACCCAAAGTGATCTCGAAGACCCCTGCAACACCTGTCCACCATGGCACTCCGTTACGCCTCGCCACAGTTACAGCTGCCATTGCGGCAAAACTGAGGTTGCCGGGGCAACGGTCTGTGTGTCTGGTAGGGATTACACCAGCTCAGAGCTGCTAAAAGACTTGAGGGAGATGAAGTGAATTGTGAGTGTTTGGACATTTTGTCATAATTAGGTTCCCCCTCAAGGAATTAGCAAATTTGCAAAACTGACTCGGCTTTGTAAACCCTCAGATAATTTCTCAAATATTAGGATTTGCAGCACATTTCCACAGGAGAACATTTTTGTTTACTCTCAAAATAAACCAAATCAGAAACCCTCTTGCAGGTAACCCTCACATGGAACTGCCTTCTGATGTTATATTTTCACCCGTCTAAAGTTTTCCTACGAGTGAACAATAAGTTGATTTGCATTTGCCGTAGTCAAAGAGTTTGGAGGCCGCAGGAGAGGAGAGGAAAAAAACTTGAATCCCAGAGGGACAGACACTCGCACAACAGGAGGAGCTGTCAGAAAGAACTCACGCAGCCACAGTCTTCCCTGTTCTCTGTTTCCTATGCCCCGCAGCTGTTCCTCTGCTTAGCATGAACCAAATATCAAATGACGGACGTGTCTGTGTGCCGTCTGTGCACAAAGAGGGCGTGTTAGTGACAGTCGTTCCTGCATCTGAATTTGTGGACGGAAGGGGAGGAGGGAAGGCGACGTTTGCGGCCCAGGAGGAATTGACCTAGTGCTAGTGGACCATCGCTGGTTCACTCTTTGAATGTATGACTCAATTAATAATTAAGCTTTAACAAAATATGTGAAATTTGAAATTTGTAACAATGGATTCTAAATCTTTACCCGACAGGATCTATAAATGAAGAAATGATCCTGATATCAAAGGAAGACCACATTAACGGCCACCATGTAAACATCAGATTATTTTTGACGAGAAACTGCACAGTGAAAGGTGTCAAGGTGCCCTTGTGGATGGTATCTGCCTCCCAGCTGCTCCACTGGAGCTACACACACTAACCTGTGTACAGTAGAGGGATGTGGAATTGCAGAGCAGCTCCAATGCATGTGTGTGTGTGTGTGTGATCATGTTTTCAATATCTCGGCATTGCTTGGTCCATCAAAAAAGAAACAATTCCCCTGGATTGAAATGTACCAGGTGCAGTCATAAAACGATTTCTCAAATTCATTTTCAGGGGAAGTGGCAAGCGGGTTTTTTAAAGAATCGATATGAGGAATGTCTCTGGCTCAGTGAAAACATGTACCCTGGGCTCATGGGTCTACCGTGACCGCATACAAACCACACATTCTGATAAGAACGTTGTATAAATTATACGCCTCCACAAACACAACCGGAAAAGACACAGGGCATTGGCTATTTCCCCCCTGGGACTTGCATGCCCATTATCCTGTGCAACATTAAGGTCAGCCGTACAGACGGAATCTCACAGCAGGAGAGAACGTACTGATTGGAGGCTTCATGTTCAGCCATCCGTTAAGGACCTTTTTTTTCTTTAAAGAAGCCTCACTGACTGACATGTCGGGGGACTCTACAACATAAGACATCCAAATAAGTATATCTAGATCGACTACATGACTTCAACCCACTTCAAGCCTCTTTATTTTGCAACATGCGCGTAGAAGCATGGCGAAGTACATACAAACATGCCGGACGGAGGTGAAAGCGCACATTGCCTGTCACGGAAACTGAAAAAAGCCAATTGCGCTTTTCATTGACATGGAGATGCATTCATGGGAGGGCCAAGGGGAAAGTGGGAGTTTCCCGTAAAGAGATGGAGGGGGATGCGTAAACTTTGCCTAATTATGCATTGCGCAGTATAAACATAAGCTGCCTGCAGGTGTAACCAGAATGCGCCTGCTGGCGAAATTGCAGCAGTAATCCGAGCCAGACGGCGACGTGCTTTTTGCCACAAGGATCACACTTTTTCAGTTGAGTGAACACAAAATCATTCCGTGTTACTTTTCATGTAATATTACAGTTAGTGGAAGAAATCAAAGATGACATCGCATCTCCGACTCAGCGTTCACATTCCATTCCAGCAGTTGTTGAACTCCTCGCTCCAATGCAATCGTTGGCATCAGGATGGTTTCAAAGTTACAGCATCAGCAGGGGGAACATCGCAGTCTGCACTCAGCTGTATCACAGCACAAGTACTTAACGCTTTGCAACAGCGCACTAGTCACTGCATACATTTATCCACCACTAATGCCCAAATAACACATCAACTTTGTTGTCACTGAATTTCTGTTTTGGCTGATTCATGATGGAAAAAGTGAAGGAGGTCCATTCAATTGCGCGTTTAAATGCTTGCAATGTGCGATACAGGGGGCGGAGAATGGCGCTGATTTCCTGGTGAACTGCAGGTCTGGTATGGCGTTGGCCATGGCGCTGATAACGCTCCATTTATGAACGTACGTAGATTAAGGACTGTCTATTTTGTATTGCAAGACGGCGAAAGAACATCCCTCCCCCCCCCGCCGGCCATCTATGAACAAAGACCATGGAATGGAAAAGTGAGCAGCAGAATCCAAATCCACCGTCCTACCCGGCCAGATTGACTGGAGGAGGGTTTATGTTTTCCATCCAATGTCACCTTTACGCCACAGATTGCAGAACGCTGCCAAATGAGGTCAAATCTGTTTTCTTTTGTCTCTCAAAACTACCAGAAAAATGGGATAAGGACACTATAATCTATCCATCTATCTATTATTTTCCATCATCATCATCATCATATAAACTAATTACTTCTTCTATTATTCAATTAATCGTGTAGCCCAGTATGTCACAAGCTCCACACTGATCATAAAATCATCATCATGATCAGGAGCAAATTGTCACATCCGAGATGCTGGAGGCAGAGAATTCAAAGAACTTTGGTGGCAGCAAACAAGGTCAAAGTTAAGGTTGTCTGTTGGTCGGTCCACCACTGTGGTCCAAACTGAAGCTCAACTACTGTCATTGCCATTGCATTTCATGGAGAGATTTCCAGCACCACCAGCAGGTGAAATTGTTGCTTATTCTCACCAACTACGTGTCTAACTAATTGCATTACCATGAGCCTCAGCTGTGTTCAGTGCTAAGTAGCAGATATCGGGATGCTCAA